TATTCTAGGCTCGCATAAGCAAACACCCGATGCTTTTTAAAGAAGTCTCGTTACTAATTCAGTCGACTGGTTTCTTCCGCACTACGTATATATATCCGTGCGAAGGGAACGTTTAACCGAAAAGGAACTGCCTCGACTTTATTCATATATTCTCCCCAGGCCACCACGTATTGCTGAAAAAACTTGACCCCTGCATGTATTTTCTACATAAAAATGTAAAAGATACATTTTTCCAAAAATATCACTCGTTAACGCGCGAGAGGAAAATAATTTTTAGCAGAGGCAGAGGTGTAAAAAAGAAAGCTGTAAATTTAAAGTCTCGACACCTTATTTTTCTCATTACATAGTTGCCAAAGTCATTCGCAATAATTACTTCTCCCTCTCTTTTTTCTTTTCGTACACGAAACTTGAGTGAAACTCGTATACTCTCATCATTGGGCTTCTCTTCTCTTTTCGAAACTTTTTCAAAAAGTAACGCTGAGAAAGAGCGAAAAAACGAAAAGAAGAAAAAAAGGAGCAAAAAAGGTTTATGTGTGTGCGTGTGTAAAGAATAGCAAGAAAAGAGAGCGAAGAAATATCGATCAGAAGTCAAGAATTCTGCTTGCAGTGATGGGTGCACGAAGCTCTCTCTCTCTCTCTTTCTCTCGCCCACGCGCACGCCGAAGTTTGTCTTTACAGGCCACGTGCTCTGAAGATCAAACTTCCGGAGCTAATAAAAGCTTCTCCGAGAAGATTAGAGAAAAAAAGGTGTATAGATATACGTATATATAGCCGGGGCAGTGCACTGCGTTTGGGAGAATAATGGCCTGCGTATAAATCATTGAGGTGCTCCTGGTGTACGAAAAAGTCGCTCGGGGACGATGCGCGCACAGCCGTGCACACACACGCGATTGTGTGTACCTGGACGACGACGCACCCTTTGGGGAATAATAAATACGATGCTCCGTGTGCGGTATTTTCCTCACTGTTGATTGCATTTTTCGGGCCTGCTAACGTATAGCGTAGAATAATGTTACGCTTCTATGCGGCCTCGTTAAAAATGCCACTTTCTTCTCACAACAGTGTGGGCTAAAAAAATGAAATTTATGGTTCAAAGTAAGCTTGTCAGTGGTTTGGTTATCAATACAATAGGTGGCTTTCTTCATTGCAATTTCGTTCAATATGATTTTGAATTTTTCAATCTTCATAGTGTTAGCAGATAGACGAATCAATCGGCAGTTCTACAATAGCCTAGAACTTATTACGTATATACGGGTATTTTTTATTCATCGAGCTTTGCACTTAATTTTTTTTCGGTAGTCTTTTCCTCGGGCAAGAAAAGTTCGGGTTTCGATTCTCACCTCGACTCAGGCGATGAAAGAAAAACAGCAAAAATAGTCTTAAGTACTGCCGATAGAACGAATCCATACACGCGTGTACACAAGCCAGTCAGCTCGAGCGCATTGAATCTCCAATTTAATGCGGGTTTGGACGACATCCAAGCCGACTGCAGGGCTTCGCCTGCACGGGCAAAGGGTTGCAAAACACACGTCGGGCGCAAAAGAGCATCCGACAAATATCTGAAAGCCTCCATTATGGGTTCCATCGTGCAGATACAGACGCGTACGGCAGGCAACGGCCAGTACCCCCTTTGACGGATAAAGGTTATCGCTGCGCCACTCTGAGCCTTTTTCTCTTTCGTCACTCGTGAAAAGAGCGTATTATTGATTGCTTTGCTCAATGACTCGAACATTTTTAATTTTCATGCCGGAGAATAATCAAGAGAGTAGAATGAATTCGCTTCTTCATAAAAACTGCCTACGTATCGGATTTGAGGGATGAATAGGATAGAAAAAGAGGGCGTAGAGTAATGTACTTTCTACGCGTCCCATTTTTCCGAAATTTATTAAATTTACATACAGAGATTTTCGAGGTGGAATTTACTTTGAATAAAGGTAGAAATTTTATTCTTGTAAAATGTACTCTCAAATTTCGGTAAAGCTTATCACCATAATATAGATCCTATATTCGCATACATTTTTTGTATCAATATAATGCAATTTTTTCTCTGTATATTCGTGGGAAATTCGAGAGTACATTTCGCAGTACGGCAAAATCAAATTTACCAACGGTAAAACATGTATTTCGATCCGAGTAAAAATTAATTAAATTAAGAATAAAATTTTTTAATGGAAAGATATTTTTTTCAAATAAGTTTCAGCAGAGGTAGGAGGTAAATTGAAGGAGTTTTCCCTGAATCTCACAAGTTAATAAAAGGCCCCATTGCTATATATACTTTGAGAATAATTATTACATATTCAGTGAGTTTGACAAATATAAAGAGTCTAAAACGTTAAATTATTAAGTTTAAAAAGCGCTTTCTCCTCGCACAAACGTCGTCGTGTACTTTTCGAGTTATATGAGTTTTCAAACACTAAATAAATATTGTAGGCAGTTTGTACAAGTAGCCTGCAGCATCAACATAAGCATAATAAAGCTCATATTTTACGTCGCATCGCAGCGGCAGTATGTCGTACATAAGTCAACTAATGCGCGAGGCAAGGACGACGCTGCTCGCTCGCTCGCTCGCAGCGGCATGCATACAACTATACGTATACGTATGTATTTATGTTTAAAATTCTCTTGTGCCATCTTTAGCCGCGCGAGCTCAAGAAGTCACCGCATGTGAAATTTCCCAGTGCCAACTTTGAATTCTTCATTCCTACTGCAGGCGCAGCGGCGTCGGCATCGTGAGAGGCTCTCGATGCGCCTGCGGAGCGAGTATACATCATCCCTAGTGGCGGCGAGCGCGCGGGGGTAGTTTTGAACTCGCTTCCGCTAGACACGTAGATACACTCTTTTTTGCGGCGAGAGTGTGCGCCGCGTGCAGCGCACACGGCTGCGGCACCGACTCTGCGAGTGCATACTGCGAGAGAGCGAGCTGCTCCAGCTACGAACCCAAGTACTTTCAAAGGATTTTTGGCAAGAGTACTTCTGAATATTAATGCGACGTGATTTAACCATATGCGCGAGTCGGCGCGCTTTGTTTTGCCTTTTTCTCACTTTCGCAACTCTCCGCTAGGTATACATTGCGTCGGCGCGCATGTGGCCTCAGCCTGTCCTATTAATGTTTTAAATTATTTAAAAGCGCATCGAGCTCTAGACCTGGCAAGGACACCAGGCATGTTTGTAAAATTGAATAATGAACGAGTTTGAGAGAAAAAAGATGAATGAAGAAGAGTCGACTGCAGCCAGTGTATTTCGCGGCATCGAATCGTTTCAATGTAAAATTCGTTCGCAGAGCCGAAGCTGGGCTCGGTTGTACGTAGCTGCGACGTGTGTGTACGTACGTATATATACAGGCGTATACACAGAAAACGAGCTTTCATTTGTCAAAGCGTCAAGTTTCTCGAACAAAAGCAGACAACGACGACGATGGTGTTCGCTGCTCGTCGTCGTGTTCCTTGGCTCGACAGGATGAGCGAATCCCCTTTTCATATTTCATCCTTTACGACTCCCTCTCTCGCTCACTCTCTCATGGCCTCGGCATAGAATGTATAATGCATACTACATACACGTATATAGAACATGTTTTCTTTTTCAAAAGATTATAATCCGATGGTACACGTACGTTTCTCTCTGTCTAATTTGATATTTTCCCGGCTTTAGGGTTTGAGCGATGAATAAAAAATTAAAAAGAATAGCTTTGCGGCCAACGATTGCACACAACCTACATATAAATTAATTTTAGCCGCATACGCCCGAGCTTTTCCTAGTCAAGCTTAATACAATAAATAAATAAGTAGCTTGGGATTAATTTCATCCTAAAACGTATCATTCATATAACTTTTAGATCCGTGTGACATGAGCGATACGCGCACGGATCGTTCGGCGAGATTATTGGATTCGCTCGAAAAGTAGGCTTATAATATTGGAGAAATTTTTTTTTGTAGAATATGCATAGATTCCATCGCACGAGTTTTTACAGACTCGAGCGATATATAGAGGTAGATAACAAAAAGAGGAAAAGGGGGTAGATGTCAGTCGATCGAGGCAAACGAAAGTACGTGACCTATCGCTTTCCAGCCACTTTTCTCTTTTTTTCTCTAATAATACTCATGTACCGGGAATATATTTTCAAAGCCCGACGACGTTGCCGCCAAAGAAACGATCTCTTTATTTGCCAATTTCAGACTTTTTTTATTTAAAACTCATTGTTTATGATTGCCCATATTAACAAATAATTTATTCATTTTAAAATTTTTTTATTCTGTATAAATATTGTATCGGAAACATGTATAAATATTGTAACGGAACTTGCCCACCTCACAATAAGTTATTATATTTTCTTTATTCACCAATCTATGCGGCTTTACAGCAACTAGTTAATTCGTGCGTAATATTTGAATTAGCTGATTGTTCATTTGCATTTGCAACTGTTTCCGATCATGAGATTTCTATTTCACAAAAATTTTATAACTTTCCATCGGCTTTAATGTCGCAAGAAACTACATCATATTCTCTTAATTTATATTATTCTTACCTCCTCGTCTTATATCTTTTCCTGTTTTATTTTATCAAAATTTCTATGGAGAATTTGGCTGGCTGTTGTATTACAAGAAGCCACAGCACCAGCACCTCGGGCATGTTTTCCCTAGCTACATCTTTAATTGTTTTTACCAACATTTTTATATTGCATGGGGGTTGAAGATTACATCGCAAGATGACACTATTTCAGCTTTGAGCGTTTTACACTAGTTAAGTTGTCATGAAACGGCCCTGTATAACGATAATTTAACAAAAAAATATTTTCAACACCAATCAAATTGTTTCGTGTTTGAAAATAATTTTATAAGCCCATCAATATCAATATTTTATAAATTTTACAACCATACGTAATACTCAGTTACGTAATTGAAGATAATTATTTATTGGCATGCCAATATGTAAATTATTTATTTATTTTCAACTTACTTCAATACTTCATTATTTAACAGTAAAAATTTAATTTCTTGTTTCAGGTTATTGGTAACCTCATGTCCACAATTCCAATAACCAAATTATCATCTACGTGAGTTGTAACATTGTTTCATAATTATATTATTGCCTTAAACTCTAATTGTTGAATGCTTATGGAATTCCTACATTGTTTAGCATATTTTTATGAAATTAAATATATCGTAGCATAAATAATTAAATAACTGGTTCTCAGAAATTTTTTAACAGTAAGTATTTGCAAGAATATAAAAACCACAAAAAAATATTACAACTGATTGAAAATGCATAAAACGATTTCTCCATCTCAATTTTCGATGCATAAAAAAAACCACGAGAACCAATTTGTCCATTCTTTTACGAAGTATATTCACGTGCATTTTTTATATATATGACATCAACAGCGTGAGTACCTTCGGAGCAATTGTTTTATTTTCCAGTTGTTCACTCTATTGAACACAAACACAAGCAAAAATCAAAGAAGCATATAGTCAAAAGATTCACGATAAAAAAATAAAAACAGTCTTATATACATATTACAACAAAAGAGTAAAAAATTCAATGTCATTTTTTTTGATGGCTTGCGCATATTTTAAAAGCCTTTTTTTAAATATCCTTTGTTGGTGGTTATTTTCAATCGCACGTCTTGAATTCTGTGTGAATCTCGGACGAAATAAACCACTCAGTGGAAAATCAATTACTTGCAGTCGGGGATGCTGAAAGAATCATTCGCTTAGCACATTATGAACTCGGCTCGAAAATCGAATTCAATATCAATAAAGAAGTTTTATCTTTGATCTTCACCACAAAGTGGCTGCGTTCGAAAACTCATAAATGACCGTTGATCGTGGCTTTTTTGATATCTCATCAACGCTAGTGACACCACGGTTCGTTGATAAAAGGTGAATTCAAGAAGTTTCGATCAATTATCACTGGGCATTTGAATTTTCATTAGTTTCAAATTATTTTTTTCAAGTTTGCTTTATCATTTTTTCCCAAAACAAACTTCTTCTAGGAAAGAAATTGTCGTTTATCGCAATAAACCGCAAAGCATTATTAAAAGTTGTTTGTCATCGCAAGAGAAAAAAACTAGCGGGAAAAGAAAAGAAGTTTTCTGAAATACAAATCTTCAAAGAGAGAAGTCGAGCGTGATAAGAAGATGGTTTATAATACATGATACCAAACCGTTGGGACTTTCTTCTCCTCTTTTTTTTCTACGCAGTGCTGAGGCTGGGCTTTAAAATTCTCTCGCCTACGCTTAAAATACAACTCCAATACGTTATACACGTACTGCAGTGTGTCAGTACCACATTCACATATATACAGCCTCGCAGCTTCTCGCTGTTTTTTTCAGATTCAGAGCAACTATACTTCTTTCTGCGCATACATGCGCTTTGTTGGGTTTTTTTTCACTTTTTCCTCCAACTCGACCTATTTTTCCCGTATATCTTTTCTTCTTCTATTTCACTCCCTGCAGTTAAGAATCTTTTTTTTTTCTTACATTCTCTCGGGCATTAATTAATATTTTTTGCATTGGAAGAGAAACTGCAACGAGGCCAAAGTTAATTTTTTCATTGATTGTAACTTGCGCCATCGCCGGTTTTAATCGCGTAAATATATATCGATTGCCACAATGTGGCAAATAACTTTCTGTTCAAAATGTACGAGCAGTAGAAGTAAATTTATGTTTTTGCAATTAGATAGATTCGTCGAGAGGTCGGAGGGAAAGAGCTGCCTCGAGAAGTCGAAAGAGAGATGCACTCGGTAGTTCCTAATTAATTACTCGATGCGGAAGAGGTACAATCGTACTCGCGCGTTCAACTTCTTTTGTACAATTAGGGGGGATCACGGGAAAATTGTATGAACTGCGAGTCAAATTTTAATTGATAAAAAAGTGCTCATTTTAACGAAGAAACGTTTTAAAATAAAACTAAAAATTACATCGACCTGTAATACAGTTTCGAGACAATTATAATTAACATTTATTCGGTGGGTATGTGTGAGAGTTGGAGGAAATGAAACGTCTCATCTATATTTTATTCGTCAACGTGCATAAGACTTGTCACGTCTCTGTCCGCTTGGCGTGCAAGCCCCAAAACATGTAATCGCATGTATTGCTTTCGTCGGCAAGCTGTGTACGTTCCGATGTTGCCTTGGCTCTCGACCGCGACGTTGGCACGTAATGATACTTAATTTCAAGTTTCCCATTCCAAGCTGTATATAAAACGCACGTGTATTCAGATAGACACATGCTAACTCGAGCGCAGGTAAATGGTGCAACAGAAGCCAAAGAATGTTTAGACGAGGATTTATGAGAAAAACGTTACGGGAGAGCAGAACTATATAAGCATATAACATTTATCACTGGGAGAACTTTGGCTACTTTGATTATGTTGGCAAGTATTTATCCGTGTAATTTTTTTTCATTCGCTAGCTCGATGGCAAATAACATTATTCAACGATATTCGAATTTTCTCGTTCTCTTCCTCCCTGTTGAAAGTTTAGAGCGCAAAAATCTCATCGCTCGTCGCCGAGGAACAATGTTTTTTATTATGTCGACCTTAGCAAGCAAAAGTTTTAACTCTCTCGGCAATCAAAACTCACTGTGCTGGAGAAACGCGTACTAACCTCCCTTTGCCAGCCCCTCCCCCTTTGAATATACGTAAAAGTTAGTTGTGCCTTCCCCTAAAGAAGAGTCTTCTTTTAATGGCAAACACTTTTTTTACCTAGATGTCGCCGTTGAGAAAATATTTAACGCCAGGCGAGAGTTTGTTGGCACTTGTTGTTTTGTTTGTGTATTAGAACGACTCGCTCGCTCTAGCACGCGTATACACGCCGTTGAGGAGATTTTGATGGAGTTTTTCAGTTGTCTGCTACAAGAGAAAAAGCTCAAATTCTGACATCTGATACACACTATCGAATTACTCGTTGTCGATAGTATATTAATAGTCGAGTTAAAATACACGACTCCATTAATAAAATATATATGTGTGAAATTTTACGAGAATAGAGACGTGATTGCAAACGATAAACAGTTACTGTATGGTCGCGCGTGGACTGTGACGCTCTGCATTAAATTGACAAATGATGATTAATTAAGAGCTTGCGGGTTGATGCATGGTTTAAATGTACATGTATCGAAAAGCCCGCTGGTATTATGCGACGAATTAATGGATTTCACGCGCTTAAATAATTTAGTTTTCTTAAGCCTGTTAAATTGGAAGATACTATGCGCAGCGAAATATTACGATTTTTTTCGCGTTAAATTAGTTGCAAACAATCTCGAGCAGAATAAACAACGATTTAATTTTAATCAAATATTTCCTTACGGACCAAGAGTCTATGGGTGCGTGCAGTGGTGCAGCGCAGCAAAATTAAAGCGTAAACTCGTTGCCGAAATTTGTTTATGAAATATTCGAGATGCGTCTGATGTGGTTGGTATGGATAATAATTAACGAAGGAGCTAGCTTTTGTCCTTTTTTTACCCGAGGTAGAAATTCAAATGGCGTGAGAAGCCGCGCATGGAAATTTCAACGAGGCAGCAGAGCTTTGCTCGCGTGCCGGCGCATAGTTCACCGGTGAATTGAATAGTTTCGGAAGGAGAACAAGAAACGGAGCTCGGCTTCGTGTGGGTGCATCGCGCACATACACGCGCGTGGTCAGGATCTTATTACTCGGCGTACGAGCGTTTCTTGGCGCTCCTTTTCCAGGATATCACGAATTTTAGCCTCATTTTTTGTGCTCGCTTTATGTTACAGGCAACGCAGAGATATAATGTTGCGCGTCCTGGGTGTGAGGCTACTGTCACGGCTGCTCGTGTTGGTCTGCTCGCTGTCGCTGCTGTCGCTGCTCTTTCTCAGCCGCTGCGGCTTCAACAGCATCGACACCGACCTCGATGAGACCTCCGGTGAGACACGTCCTTCCTTTTTTTCTTACTCTTATTAAAATTAAAACTTATTCAAAAGCTTGTGTGTATATAAAGTGCAAGTTGCGCCCGGGGTAAAAAAGCGGCAGTTAAACGCACACGTGCGTCGCGCCCGTAAAGTACTCGGCTTCGAGCTCATTTTCTTCACTTGCTTATATTTTACGAGTTCCATTATTGCCAACAATTTCGTGTGCTCATACCTGCTGTGCCTTTTATATACGCACGCACGCTCCAGGATTATGCTCCGGCGCTTAAATAAATGTTACCTTGTTGTTGGACGTTTTTTTCCCTGCCCCTCTCCTGCTCTCTCTCTCTCTCTTCTCTCAAAAGAGGAAGGGAGTACACACAAGAGACGATATGAAATTACGGCCTCTGTAAGAGAGGCTATATTATATAGAGAGGGTCGTTTAATTTTCATTAAAGTGTTTCGAACCCTACACACAAGTTACGCGCGTGTGTGTACGTGTGCCTGCTGGTCATTTTGTGTCATAATGCGCTGCCATTAGAACGCACCAGTGGGCCCTTGCAAGCTTCATTTGCTGCACCGAGCTGTATAGAGCAACATGAATTTTATGGTGTACCTACCCTCTCTCGCTTGCTCTCTTGTTGTTCACTACTGGCGTGCATGTACTCATTGACTCGAGCTCAGAGTGAAAAATTACGATGGACAATTACGCTACGTGCGCCCTGTGGTGATTTTTCATTTTTTCAACTAGTTTTCCCCTTATTTTTTTGCAAAAAATTTGTATAATTAAAAATGCTCCTTCTGTCTCTCTTTACTGGCCGTAACGAGCTATTCGCACAGCACAAGAGCCAAAGTGCTACTCGAGGAAAAGAAGAATAGTCAAGCTGGGAGATACATCTCGTCTTCAACAGAGGCAATTACCTAAGTCTTTGTAATACAAACACGCGAACACGTTATATATCGTTACTTTCTCTCCTTCTCTTTTCTGCAAGCCGAATTTCGCGAGATACGTCGTTGTTGCAACAGCCCGCTACACGGAAAACAATGCGCGAGACACCGAAATTGTTTTTGAGAGGCTCGTTGATAGTTTTGAATAACATGTAGTCGATCCCCGCGCTGGCGGCTCATGCTCGTGGCGCACAGTCTGTGTAACGACTTCTGAAATGAGTTGCGAACACGAGCGAGCTTTCGGAAAAGGCAAAACACGCAAAACTTTCGGATCATTCGTGTATCTGAGATTTTCAACTTTATACTTTTGCGCTTGCATGTGCTGACATGGCGAGATGATTAGAGTAGTCTACATATAAAGCAGAAAGAGAGAGAGAGAGAGAGAAACATAATTCCGGGAGTTATTTCCAAGTTATTTCGAAGCGATGTAAACGTATTATTGCACGAGCTCGAATTTAATGATTATAGTAGCGCTGTGATTTCGCGATATGCAGGGCACTCCCTTTTCAAATCCAAGGAATACGTACCATTATATTGAGAGAAAAAATAATCATAATGCGATATTGCACCATAATTCATGGCTACATGCGCATTATTGTCCGTGAATATATGTACGAGCCAATTGCAATGACCCCATGAGCTAGTCCTTTATATTTATCAGTGCTGACAACTACATCGCTGTGAAACTGCAGTGCTGTCGATGACGCAATTAACCCTAGTACATACATTTCTGGTAACTGCCAATGTTGCTCAAAAGCTCGTCGGGCTGCAAGCTAGCTTATATCGGGGTCAGGCAAAAGGGCCGACCTGATATGCCTAATGTCATGCTTCGTCCTACTCATCGAATGAACAAAGCTTATGCCATATTATCTTGCGTCCATAATGGTTAATTGTCTTCAGCTTTTTCTCTATGTTTTTTTGTTGTTTCTCTGAACTGATATTTTCGTACTCTGTACTCATCTTGACACTCTTAGCAATTAAGGCAAGGCGCATAAGTGGAAAACACCACGGGCGGTCTGACTTGGAGTGTGCGTTGGCCTAATCCGCCGATTAAATTGCCACGACTTTGCGTTTGAGTTTCCCGATCGCTTCGAGTACGGCCACTCGATATTTCTATATCGTAGATAGCATAGGTGCTGTGCTTGTCCGTGGGCGCATGTCCGTGGGCGTGTGTGTACGGGTGTGCGCGATGAAACTCATAGACGCCAACTCAGCTGTTTTCGAGAGGGATTGTTCGCGTTCCTCGGGGGCACTAGAGAATCTTTTCTGCATGTAAACACGCCTCTGCTGCCCGGAATGCCGCTGTAATTTGATCTAAGCTAGCTTTCGCCGAGCGCGCGTAAATAAATAAAATTTCCATGCTGAATTCCCGATAGTTGTAATTTCATAAATTATAAGCGTGCACTCGCTCGCTCGCGTATATTTCCGAGGAAAATCCGTAATTAATTTTAGTTTCGAGTACTTGGCGCGTGTTCGCTGCCGAGAGAGAGCTTTACGGTGTATATGTGTGTATCTCTGCGCTATACGGGCGGAGGATTTCGGCGCGCGTAATAGCGTAAGCGTGTAGTGCGTATAATAGATTTTCGAATTATTCATCGGGCTTCGCGCGCGCGATTCGTGAAATCGCATCAAGCCAGCAGTACATTCTTATGGCATATCTTTTCGGCTAGACGAAAATAAACCGCCAAAGCTCCGAGCTTGCTCATATACTCGGCGCATACAACGACACTATAAATCACAAATATCCGCGCAAAAGCTCGCCACGTCACGTGAAAAGACAAATAGTGTATCGGCGTGTGTCGGTGTATTCCTTATGCACGACTCGTGCAACACAATCCCTGCCGGAGATCCTATTTATCTGAGAAATTTCGCGATTGAAATACGCGGTTAGCATGAGTAAATACACGCGAGCTTGCAGAGCTTCCGCGCAAAAAAGTGCGAGATTCCGAATTCATCTTGCATATCGCATAATATATACGCGATGAAAATCTAATTAGCACCGCGCGCGCGATGCCAGTACTAACAGTGGCAGCAGCAGCAGCAGCAACAGCGAGACTGGAGATAATTATTATCAGCTCTGCGCGCGGAACGACTGCACGTGTGCGCTCGCGAGTAAATGTTGCACCTTATATTTCTCTACGCCACACGAAATTTCATAAATGCTTAAAATATTCTTAGAACATGCTTACGCGCACCGTTGCGTCCAAGTCTATGAATATGAAATGATGAAAGTGTAATTTTTTTCTCAGTTCGTTTGTGTAATGAAACTTATACGTAGCCTGCACTGATAAAACGACGTCAAAAAGGAAAAAGATCCATGAGAGGTGAAACTTGGAATGCGTACAAAATTTTAATCCTTAACATATAGAACTAAAATAGTCGGAAATAATTATCAAATAATATAACTACCAAATACTAATGGGTATTACCAGCTATTATGAACATTTAAGATCTTAAGAGTCTTATTCGTGTACACGCAAATACTACAAGTGCTTTAAGTATCGTTCCAATTAAGATCTCAGCTTTTGTTGATGCTAAACGACTGAGATAAAAATTTCATTCATAAATAAATTATCAATTCGCGAAGATGTACAAGCTTAGCGAGGTTATATAGTAAACTCATTCAATATTAAACCTTGTCTGGAAGAGGGCACTTCTTTTTTATTCTACACTTACTCAGAGTACATGAAAATTTAGAAACTGGAAAGAGAAAAATTCGTTGAGAAAAAAATTTTGTCCCTGAAAATGATATTCTTGCACGAATGTTAAAGCCATTTGCGCATTATAGATATAAATGTGCTTTCAACGGGCGTAGATGTAAATTATAACTTTTAATGCTCGCGCGAAAGCTTGGCGTACGTTTTGGAAATTACTCATGGATTTGGGCGTCGAGCGTAAGATTGTGATTGTGTAAGCGATTTTTCATTACTTCATACGGAATATGTAAAGTAAGTACAAGAGTTGAGAGCTTTTCATGGCGGATTAATCGACTTAAAATTCGAAGCTTTATTTTTGCGCGCATTGCTGTGCCATTGGGGCAACATCCTGATCGTCGGTGGGGAAAGCGGCGAAATAGTCTGGTCGATCAATCTCATTCAATAAGACATCTCAACACGTGCGGTGCCTTTAATTTCTCTCCCTCCAGTCGCAATCCATCACTCCGCGCGCGATATATAACACGGAGCGCACGGGAATTAACTAATCGTTCGGGTGTTCTCCGTTAATCCACTTACGTTTCATATCTCGTTAAGCTTCAGGCCAGCCAAACGCGAGCATACACACATGCAGTCGGATCCGTTGTCACGGCTTCTTTGGTCACTTTTGCGCAAAGCCAAGTGTATGAAACGTGTTGCGGCGCTCACTCGAGACGAGCAGCAGCAAGTGTGCTTGGCAGTTCTCTAACACGGCCTGCGGTGTCGCAACATAAGGCAACGAGAGAAGTTGAATTCGCGCGACGTGTGGCTCCGCACGCGGAACGCCGGCGGTTTTATACCTACGCCATATACACGAAGCTAAAATATATAAGAGCGTGTAAATTAATCGATCAGCGCGCGTCATTAAGAGTCTTTCACGCGTAGCCTACGCATACCTCGATTTCGAGCGAATATATGAACAGTTTAGTTTAATTTACTTGAGCTTTTAATGTAGTGCACGCCAACAATCTATGGCTAACGGTAACAACACAGCCTAGGGCTTGATTAATAATCGAAATAACATCATTCCGCATTGACCAGGGAGCGAGCGGCCAAACAATCAAACGCAAAATGTTATATTTTCTACGCGCATTGTGGAACGGCTGTAAAAGCAAATAATTTCGCTCACGGAGACGCTTGTTTTTCCCAATACCGCTGGCAATTAATATTTTACAGCATTTCTCATCGATTCGCTTAATACGAGTAAAGCCAGCACTTTGATTCACTAGTGCGTATACGGGCGAAACTCGTCACGATCGGCAAACAGATTTGGCGCGTACTGCAAGTTTACACACACACACACACTCATCTTGGTCATCAATTTGGAGTGAGGCTGCTCCGGCCGATCAACTTTGAGTCAGAGTTATAAGAGGCGCCTTGGGTCACTCGGACTCAACACGCCCTAGCGACTTATGCAGGCCGTGCTTTATACGCAGCCAGCACCGGCGACGGCGTATATGTGTGTACCATGAGTAGCGCATGCATAGGTGCGCATCGGAGCGAATTAAGCTCATAGGTATATATACAGCTGCGAGCTTGCGAGGCATACGCTGCAGCGAACAAATATCGCGCGCGTTGTTTGCTCGCCTCGCGCAGTAGGTACTACTAGGCGCTCTAACGAATCAACACAGATTGGATTTGACTGATTGCTTTCGAAATATTATATATGTATGGGTGTGCTCTGTGTGTGCGTCAATGCAGCTCGAGCCCCGAGTAACGCGGCCACGTCGATATACATCGAGTAAAGAAGTCATTAGCTTGGGTTTACATATTGCAGTGTCGCAAACACCAAGTTGAAATGGCAGACAGTAGTACGTATCAACGTTAAGACCCACGTACGTACGTCGTCCCTCGGAATCGCTGCTGCCAGCCTGGCAGCTGTCGACTGAATAAACAATACAAAGTAACTATTTTACACTCGAGAAAAGTGTCGGAGACGCTTGCGCGTGCCTTATCCTCGAGAAAAGAGAGAGAGCTGCTCGTTTTCATCTCTCTCTCTCTCTCTCTCTTTAAACGCAAGCACGCTCACACCCACTCGCACATCTGCTATATCGCGCGCGCAAAAGAGCGACGACATTTCTCGAGAGTCGTGCTACGCTATATAATACGACGTTTCATTCGTGTCGTTACATCTATATATACACTCCCAGCTATACACAGCGAAATAGAATGTGTCTATATAGGCGAGCAAAAATACGCTTTTCAATGTGCGGGTACGCCTTTTTTTCGACTGTACAGCAGCAGCAGCCGCTTCGTGGCGCGTTCTCTTTCGACAAAACGTATCCTTTGTCCCGGGCACAGCCTTTAAATGAAATCTCCTTGAGAATTGCGTCGCTTTATTTTACTTTCCTTTCACTCAATCGAAATGTCGATAAAAAAACGCTATATACTCTTCCTGAGCAATTTGCTTTTCTTGATCGATAATTTTGTTTCGCCGCGTATTTCGTGCAACGAGTAATTAATCTGTCATTGTTGTTGAATCAAACCACTTTAATTATATTGAACTTTAATTGAGAGGATGAAACGCGTCGGGTGTAAAAAAATTGAAAAAAAATCCCACGCACTTGTCAAAATTGTCCTCTCTTTCGCTCTTTCGTTTTCCCGACGCGACAAGCCCCTCGACATACTTTATTAGAAATCGATATGTGCTCGCTGCCACGTACACGGCGCACGTCTGTCAAAGTAGCGAAAATATTTTAATCTGCGCCGTATATTCGGCATTATGCGAATAAATCTCAACTTTTTCCCCATTTCGAGTAATAAATAAAGCCGTATCGCGCGGCCTCGTAAGCTAAATAAAAAGTCGAACCAATGCAGTGGCCCCCATGCACGCCATGTAATGTATGAAAAAAAAAGCTTACAGCTACCTGTCGGCGTATTCTAGAGTGTTTTCTCAGCTATTGCCACCATTAAGCCTGCTAGTGCAGCCATACAGAGAAGTGGGGAAGAGAAAGAGAGGAAGAGAGACATTTATTTCACTTACATCGTGCCAGGCTAGGCGCTTGCTTCACAACTTATTGCATTTAATGGCTCGATTCTTTACAAGCTCGTAAAAGCCGTTGGTTACTCAACTTTCGCCCCTTTCCCTCTGTCTTTCTGAATATCACGTTTTTATTGCGATTAAAGGTGGAGTTATTTTCCCCGGCACTTTCTTGAGAAAATCTAGCCATTCGATGATCGAATATCATTGGATAAGTTATGTGCCTCTTTACTGGTCGCGCTGCGCCTTGTCCCGATTCAATTCCTTATCTACCTCACTTGACTTTTGTTTTTGAAAATCAGCTGCGCAAAGGGACTTTAATTTTCATGCCAATGGAAAATCACGTTATATACAACTACTCGTTGGAACTGCATACGAGCTGCACATTATATATGCATGAAGGATATATTATTTACTTACAACTAAGAACGATCGAGTAAAGTTGGAGCTTGTTGCTCTCAGTTCTTCACTATCTTCCTCGAGGATGTATAAGTTCCGGGTAGCAAAAATATATATATATCTATATATCCGTATGCAGCACATTGTCGTAGAGCTAAAGGAGAGAGAGAGAGAGAGAGAGAGACGAAGCGTTCATATACTTGGAAATGAGTTGGCTTGGTGTCAATTCTCACTTTCCAGTGGGGGTACATAACAGCGACTCGCAATAAGTGCGAATTGAATCAAGCCGGTGGTGTCTGTCGTCGGGCTCGCTGTACAACTACACTTACATAACAGCTCACGCCACTGAGAGGGGAAAATTGGGTCGCTACGGATCTCTCTATCTCTCTAGAGGGAGGCGAGGCGAGACGAGACGATAGACGTGCTGGTGTGACGCTTTGAAATGCTCAGCTCTCTCTCTCTCTATCGAGCTTGCACTGTAAATAAGACTGACATGGGGCGAGAGGAAAATAATTTCATCGATGCATCTCCGTGTCCCGATGATTTTAACGCTGATTAATTTGTATCTATTTGATTCGCAGGTCCAGCCACACTGTCGAGCGCAAGTCTGTCGGAGGTAAATCAGCGGGATGAAGAGACGAAGCTCGAAATAGACCGGCTCACCGCTGAGATTCGAGCGCTCAAGTTGCAGATATTGCAGCTTACTGGTTCGTATTGTCGCTTTGAAGTGAAATACAATGCCGAATTTTCGAGCCTCACGGCTTTTTTACCCGCAAAGGCGCGCCGCTCTTAACACGGTTTCTTTACGAGGAGCCGGGAGAAAAGCTCCGCCAAGTAGTATCGCAGAAAAAGTAGGAGTAGCCGGACGAGTGGAATCGCGTGGAGCGAAGAAGCAAAGTACAGAGCGAGGTAATTACGCGCGGTGAGAGGGGTAAGCTTTGCGTGCGCTGCGGTATATACTACTATATAGCTTTCGTGCATCGATCTTCCTTAACGTCGCTTTAGAGCGGCCATTGTGAGGCACTAGGCACGCAAAAAAGACACTCAGGGTCACGAGAGCTGCGACAAGTCAACTCCATTCGCTATATGGATTTTCCTCGTTCGGCCCCTCCTCCCTCTCCTTCCCTGCATACGTATACAAAACTGTTTCCCATCGGCTAATGGAATCGTCCCCGGCAATCGAATCGTCGCGCCAAAGTGAAAATTTAAATAGTCCGGCGCCTCGATCGATCTATGCGGCCGTCATCGTTGCTTTCGCACCTCGCACGAGTGAACAAAACCACGCAATCATCGGCTAAAATCAATTGTTAGCGATTAATTATATGCACATACGCGCGCAAATGTTGTTACGCGAATAATGTGGCCTTCATATTGTAGAGCGACTCATTCATCGCAAAGCTCCATCGGTGCGTCCGGATGTAAGTTAGGAAAGAGAGAGAGAGAGATACGTACGAACGAATGCATGTGTGCGTGCGTGTGCCTGTGAGTGTGCGCAGCGCAAAAGCATCCGGTTTCGCGCGCATTTGTCGCTCTAACGAGGACCAATTATAGCTCGCGTTGCAGTAGCGAAAGGGGGAAATACGTCAGTACGATACTCATCGTACGTAATTCGCTCATGTCCTTTGTTCGATTCTCCTGTCTTTCTCTTTCTCCCTCTCGTTTCGGCTCGATTTTCAGTTTCACCTTTTGCCTTAATGCTATAATGCGTAGTGTGGTCGAGTCAGATCGGCCACAGGCTTTCGTTTTTTTTATTACTCTCGGCTCATACAAGTATTTTTCGATCGTTTGCTTTTGTTTCACTGGACGCACGTGTGCTCTTTTGTTCTTGGAGAACAAACTCCAAAATTTGTTTCGCTACTAAAAAAAGGAAAAAAAATAAATAAAAATAAAACATTAGCTCGCAACTCTCTCTCTCTCTCATGTAAAAGCTATCAATTTTGTAAAAGGCAGCAGCACCGTAGGAGTTGCAGCACGTGTTAGCAACACATAACGCGCGAAGCTCTGCGCACCTCGAGAAATCGCCAAGACGTGTCTCACCTGCGGCGGTGGTTGCTCGTGTGCGGTTTGCTGCTGCTGCTGCACGGCGCAGCGCAGCACAGCACAAGCCGAGTGCAGTGACCGCAAGCCGCGCATGAATATTCATAACTAAGCGCGCTCGGCGTTCACGCGTGCGATTAAACGTGTACACCTCCCTGCGCGCCACCTCCCCGCTCAACCCTCTAGTGCCTTCACGTTTCGCGGTTAATGACGCAAAGTACGACAAGACGATCATCGGCCCGCACAGACCGAAAAAAAGCCTCGAGTCCTCGGAATTCAAAAGTGACTCGGCAGCATCGTTATAAAGTCGCAAGCACGAATGTATATGTTCGCGTCTGGCTCTCGTATACCTCGGGAGTGCGCAGCGACGCGTAAAAAAGAGCGCCGCATCTACGCTACTACGTCGGCCACGCGTGCAGTGGTAAAAGAGCTAAGACCTTGTTTTTAGTCTGGCAAACAGTTGTCTGCAGTTACAAAAAAAAAAAAAAAAAAACAGGAAGAAATCTCATTCGAGGTATGCGAGGAGATAGGCGTTTCCATCCTTAACCCGAGAGCACTGCACGCACAAAAAACTTAACGATCGAGCCCTTGCACATTTTATACACTGCCACCAGCTCCGCTGCTACTAACAGTGGCTGTATTAACATAGGAGTAAGTTAAAAAGGATGTATAAATCGGAAGGAAAATATAGTCGACAAAAATGGGCAGTGAGAGCAACTTCCATACACGCCAGATGTACTTTGTTTCGTACTTTTCTCGCAGGAGCGCACGCGAAAAAACAAACATTTAAAGATCAAGAGTACAGAGAATCATACAAACTCTTACTCGCAGCTCGCTTTTTTCCATCAATTGGCGTGACAGAAGAAAGTCTCCTCTCGTGGATATAAACTCGCACACAGCCAGCGCGACACACGTACCGTAACATCGGGCAAGAACCGTTATAGGGATTAGGTGGGTGAGAACTACGGGGGCTGTGCGGCTCTGTCTGAGGTGTTCCTATCTATCTATATACGTATAAAGACAATAAAAGTCACGGCGAGGCCAAAGTCGGAGGAAAAACTTTCTTGTTTTATAAGGGCTTAAGGGCCATTTCCGTTCGCACTTGGGCTGATTGTTTCTCCGAATGTAACCAGTTTTCGAGCCAAAACAGACACGGCGTAGGCGAGGCTGTCTTCGATGTATGATAAAAAGAAAATTACTCATCGATGCAATTCTTTTCGGACTGCAGTTTCAAAGTAATCTCAAGAATTTTTCGAAAATGAAATCGATTCAATAGACTTCATTTACAACGAGATAACTTATTGGGGAAAAAATCGAAATACAAACGCTGGCAATGTTTGCTTTTATCGTTTTCAAAGGGATTCTTCTGCGTAAAGCCTATTATATATGCACGATTTCAGTGCGAAGCAAGATATCGAATTGATGAAAAGCTCAATGCTAAAAAAACTGCGCAAAGGGTCGAGTCGTAAAACACGTTTTTTTACGATCGAGCTTTTGTGATACGCTGCAGCGTGAATAAAAAAGCTTCAATAACTCTGTTTTTTTTTGCGTGGAAATCATGGAAAAGAGCACAAAGATAATGGAAGAAGGAGCACATTTAATTAATTATATATAACATCGAGGACGTTTATAATTGTTTTTACAGGCGGACCACCGGGTCACGGCTACGACAGCTCGCTGTCGATGCTCAACAGCAGTGACATCGGGGATTGTTTGGCCGCTCGTCGGCAAATCGATCAAGCCGAAATTAATCAGGGCCTGCCGCTGAACAACGAGTACGAGCTAATACCCTTCAGTCATTTCACCCTGGCTCGTCTCTATCCGTCGGAGTTGGGTCTCGGTAAGCGCGTCGTAGAGAAGCCCATCGGTTTCCGGCAAAAAGACTTTATCGAGGCGGTGGCCAAAGCCCTCGAGGTGCTCAATCGCAACGCCACTAATCAGAGCGTCAAGTACACCGAGGCAGACTTTTTGGAGGGCTTGTACAGGATAGAACCGACGACGGGCACTCAGTACGAGATGTATTTCAAAACGAAGAACTTGAACAAGAGCAGCGTGCACGCCAGCAGCAGTGCCATTACTAGTCTGGGCAGCTATACCAAGATCTCCCTCATCAGGCCGTTCGCGCCTCTGCAATTCGTCAAGGTGGAAAAGCGAAAGGCTCGCGACAAGGAGCTCGTCCACATCATTCTGCCGCTGTCGGGCCGAACGAGCACCTTCCAATCGTTCATGGACAAGTTTGTGAAGATAGCTCTGCAAATCGATCGCAGGGTGCATCTGACCGTCGTGTATTTTGGCACGGAGGGTCTCAGCGAGGCCCGAGCCATTATGTCCAGGGTCTTGATGACTCGCGGCAGCGGTGGAACGAATCAAAACCTACGATTGCTGGCGCTAAACGAGACTTTTTCCCGTGGCAAGGGTCTGAGGGTTGGTGCCGAGAGGGCCTGGGGAGGGGGCAACAAGGACGTGCTGCTTTTCATGTGCGACGTCGACATCGTTTTCAGTACTCGCTTTCTAGACAGGTAACACATATTATTCATTCAACGATGACCCACTGATTATGACGACGTCGACTGCAATGACACGCGTGTATTTGGCTTACAGGTGTAGATGGAACACTTCGCCCAGCCGCAAAGTCTATTACCCGATTGTCTTCAGTTTGTACAATCCCCACGTGGTGTATACGCTGCAAGGAAGGAACGTACCACCCGAGACGGATCAGCTAGTCATCTCGAGGGATACCGGCTTCTGGCGCGATTTCGGCTACGGCATGACTTGTCAGTACAGGTAAGGGATCGGCTCGTGACGCCTCCAATGGAAAATATCACTTTGACACGGGTAAATTTCGCCTCGCAGATCGGATTTCCTAAGGGTGCGCGGCTTCGACGAGAACATCGTCGGATGGGGCGGCGAAGACGTTACTCTCTATCGCAAATACGTAAGGAGCAACATCAAGGTAGTAAGAGCTACCGATCCTGGCATTTATCACATTTGGCATCCGAAGGTATGTCTTAGACAAACTTTTCACTCTCTTAAGGGGCTTTGTAGCAACGAGAGTCGTACGAGCGATAACGCAGAGAAATTTCGCCCCGGCAAAATTTGCCCCTTTTATACCCAGAAGTACAAAGTTTCCGCCGCTAAATTTCTCCCTCTTTAGTGTTATTATTATTTCCGCGTCCGAGAGGAGAAGCTGCGAGTTTATTTTGTTGGCAAGTGCAACACAGTCTTTGACTGTGTATATGTACGACTACTTTTCGGTTGGCTAGTACCCATGTAACGAGCTTTTTATTGTGTAAGATTAACATTTTTTAATATGCCAGTCTTTCCAACGCATAGCTCGGCAGTTTTTTCCGAATTAATTTACCAAAATAAAATTACTTTAGAGATGTAAGTATATTATAATATATTTTTTTTAAGAATCGTTATAATTATTGCAACTTTTTTGTTGAGTCACCATTATGACAAGAAAGTATTAGATTAATTAGTAACATTCCCATCCAAAAATATTTTTCGTTGCGTTATTCCTGATAATTTTTTCAGTTCTCTGATCCAAGTCGGTTACGCACATATTGTCGATTGTATCGATTAATCACATAAATTATGTATATTCTATTCAAGTCGACGCCGAAGAGAATAAAAGTTTATTATCTTTTTTCGTGACTTTCGGTTGAATAATGTAAATGGGCTGATAACCGCGCGTGGAGGGAATACCATAGTGCCCAAGTATTTACAAGTATAATACGATTAGATCAAAAGTTTCTAGGTGCTTTAATAAGCTGATTACCGATTAGATTTAAGCCAGACGCCAGCCTGTTAACCTTTTCGCAACTTTTCTTCGAAAAACATAAGTGATAGATCGAGCTTTCTCAAGTTTTGCATATCGGGATGAGTCTAATTCGTGGACAATAAAGTTATTAAAAGTTTTCAATACTGCACAGAGCATTGGCCTCTGCTGGCTTTCCCACGGCTTGCGCGTAAAACAAAAAGTTTTAATAAAGCTTATTAAAATTCTTCTAACGAGAACTGCTTTTATAGCGTGTATACGCGATATAACGATTGTTAATTTTATATACACTCGACACACGCAACTGTGACTATCGTCGTGTTTTCTGAATTTCTGATGGGATAAGTTTTCGATTCAATTATGACGATTATACGTGTTTTCGCATGCGGATAAAGGTGGCTCTGAGTGATCGTTTTGAATCAAGAGTCTGCGCCTGAAAGATAGCTTAATTAATATCACCGAATTCCTTTCGACTTTACAAAGACTCTCCATTTCACGAGGAGACAATAAAGAGCCCGGAATAGCCGAGCACTGCTTTCCCTTGTAGCTGGAAACAGAGGTACTTTGGCGTAATTCGAGATTGTTGGTCGCCAAGTCGGAGATAAAGAGGACTTAAGAAAGGATCATCCGACGTATAACACGCTGTGCGAGAATCTTCTAGCTGCATCTATACGTCCTTGAGTCGATCTTTGAACCGCTCGCAAAATATCTCATTCTGCCCGTGCATATAGTCTCGTTTGGCAGGTCAAATTGCTCCTCAAATAACCTTAGCCGCGATACCTACTCTAGATGATTGCAAAGAGAGAGTGTAAGGAGCTGTGTACCGTCAACCGAAAATTGAATTTTCAAAGGGCTAAAACGTGTGTCGCAGTATATTCTCTCGGTGTTTTTTATCTCTATATTGCCAAATTTTATTTCAATCTTGTAAACACTTTTTATTTATTTTTATAAATTACTAAGAAAACTTTTGATTGTTTTAAAATTTTTTTAATTTTGTCAATTTATCGGTTTTACATGAGACTTAAAAATTCGTAGACAGTACTGTAAAAAAAACATGAATTTTCATGCAAATTTAATTTAAAATTTGATATTAAAATCAAAGTAACTGACACTGAATTTTATTTAAGATATTTTACATGAAATTATAAACTATAATATCATACATTAATATAAACACATAAAAATCAATGTAATTTTACGTGTTTGGATTTCCATTATTGCTTAGGTATGCTCGGGTGGTCCAGGTCAACGGCTGTCGACTGATCAGTATCGCGCATGCATAAGGTCAAGAGCACTCAACGAGGCATCCCACGCTCAGTTGGGTTTTCTCGCCTTTCGCGAAGACATAGCCAATCAAGTCTTGAAAAATCCACCAGTACCAGTTGCCACAAAAAAAAAGAAATTAACCTCGAAAAAGGAGACCAAAAGAGCGAAACAGACGATGCAGCAGCAACCCTCGAAACCTCAGACATGATCACAATCGAAGCGCGACGGAGCCCTGTAAATAAAGTAAAAAGGTCCTGTATATAGAGAATAGTAAGCAAACAAAATCTATCTAGTCAAGTTTGAATCGGCACCGTTGTTAATAATGAACCGAAAGTGATAGTTTATTGTGCTGTGTAATGTGGGAGATGTGATTGAAAATACTTAAGCAGCAAGTGCAATATGAACAATTTTTATATAAAAATAAATCTTTTTTAATTAAAGATCAGGCTTGAGGTAAATGTTGCAGAAAAAACGTATAGCCGACGAGAGGGTCAATTAAAGATTACCGATATTCTCATAGTTGGATGTGCTACACAAGGAATAATCTGTAAATGAAGCGTGTAAAAATTAAGGTTCTTATATCAATATCGTATAGTATGTTATGCGAATATCGAGTATCAATTATTAAAATGTTTAGCTAAAATTTTAAAAGAAGATATTAATTCAGTCTAAGGGTTTTGATTATTTTTTCGTACATACGAGACGAATGAGATAATTTCATCTGAACAGTTGCATTAAATTTTGAAATAACACTTTTGCAAAAGCCACTTTTATAAATGTATTAGAAAAAAATTTTGATGGACATATTAATAAAGCGACTTAATGTAAGGCCGTATATTAACCGAATAAAAGCGCGCATCGAGCAATAGAATTAGCTATTTAATTCTTCCGAACTAATCGCGGATTCCGATCAAGCTAGATCAATGAACCAAGGTTTAAATACAATATTGTGATTTGTTAAATTGAAACGTATTTTTCGAAATAGTTTCGCATTAAAACTTTAAAAGAACCAAGTTTGAAACAACTTTTCAACAAATCTCCCAAAAATTTCAACCTTCTCTCGCGATAACTTGGCGGTTCAAAAAATGTTTTCAACTTTTTAAGCAAGTTAACTATTACAGCAGCCATAAAGGCGTCCCTCCCCCTTTTTGCGTAACTTTTTTACCCCGAAATAGGACTGAAACGAACGATATGAAAATGCTCTGTGCACCATTGCACGCTTATAAACGTACAATTCTTTGTACAACAGGTTTCTCTCTCTTTCTCACTCTCTCTCTCCTTCTCCTTTCTTCTCTTGCCACACGACGAGAAAAAGCTAGGACGAAATTGCATTTCGTTCTTGAGGAATTTTTCTTGGAGTGTGCCATTCAGTAAGTTTTTGTACCTCATAAAAAAGAAGCAAACCTGTCCATTGTGTGTACTCCTAACCCCCTCTCGAACTTTATAAGCGAGAAAGAAAGAGAGAGATATCAGTTTAAAAGCATCAGAAGATGTATAATAGTACAGCAAGTATAATATAGCTGCAAAAATGAATGATGCAAATTCATACGATTTTTACCGAATGACTTTTCTATTGTTGCTGCAGTGTAAAACATCAAAGTTTGCATACCCCGAAAAAATTTTATACCAGTTTTTAAGGACATTTTTTATATTTATTATTACTTATCGATGTGTTTATAAGATACAGGTCAGTTCCTTTTTATACTTAAGGGTAATTGCAATATTTATTTACTTATTTAGGTTGTTATTTTCTAGTTATGTCATTTTTGTTATGGTATTCTTTAATTTTTTGGTTATCAAATTGTTATTGACTGTACTTTTTAGATATAGGTAAGTGCCAACAAATTGCGATTATTTAAATTTTTCTAACTTTATTTGGTAAAATTTATTTGGCAAATAAAATTATAAAAATTTGCGAGAAAAAGAAATGTAAACAAACGTAATAAATAAATAATCAAAGAACTTATTACGCAGACTTGTTAATTCTCCTTACCTACAGAAAAGTATACAAAATATTTAATTCAATCTATTTTATAATACGTTGCTAATTATTCTACAAGTGTACCATTGGGACCACCAAGCAAACTTGTTCGCGGTTTACGACTACAAACATAGTCATTTCCCGCATGAGAGTCTTGGGACAACATATAGAATCTCAAACATACACTTTACGAGCTTGCGGATGATATGCTCCACTTTTAACTGAAAATCTTTTGTGTCAGCTACAATCTTTTATAAACTTGCAGGGGATACAGGACTATTTATGAATATTGCTTTCACTTCTGGGTAAATTTTTTTTAGTTTAAAGCCACGATGAAAAGTGAGATATAAACGAGATTCGTTGAAAGCGATTAAAACTCGTGAAACGGAGCTACGTTTTCAGTGAATTTTTTTTATCGCGAGTTCATAATAATTAATGCTTCGAGAAAACCAAAAATGACTTTATCGAGCAAAAATATAGTCGCGCAGAGTTTCATGTAGTTAGGTGGCGTGCACGTAACCGCATATAGTCATTAGAGAGAAAAGTAATTTTTCCGCCGTATCCTGAAAATGTCACTGTGGCAGTGGTGGCTTGTCTCTGGTGTTGCATCTCACCCTCTCACTTTTGCCGGAAGGCCTTTTATGAAGTAATATTTCACGAAATTACCCAGTAGCAGCCCTGCACCCTCCTCTGGGGAAGGTTTCCTCCTACATATAGCTAGTTTTACGCGTTATATTTCACACGGCGATTCGTTATTTTCTCTGCTGCGACGTCGTTCTGTACAGCATAATCTGCCTGTGCACGCCGCTTATAAATAAAGCTCCTAGAGCGATTGATTTAGTGCAGCTTGGGCGTGCTTGGTAAAAAAAAGACATTGGAAAAAATAAGAAAGAACGGGTCACCTAAGAATAAAGGTACAACAAGCTAATAAGAATAAGGAATTTATGGTTAAAGAGAAAAATTTTTCTTTACAAGCGGGCTTGTGCGTGGGGCAGCTGCAGTTTGGGGTAGAGCTGTAGTAGCCTGACAAAGCACCACATCAAGTGTATTCCTTTCACGGAAAAAAGCTGAAATCGTTTGGAAAATTTATATGCATGAAAAAACAGGCGCAGGTAAGTGCAAGCTCCAAAGAAAAGTATGAGGTTTTCGAGCCTTGAAAATACAGCATCTTGTTCGACTCGTAAAATACATTGGCGAGTGAGAATCGTAAAACAATCGACAACGCTGGATTTATATCAGCCCATCAACTATGCATCGAACTATTTTTCATACAAACTCGAATTGTGAAAAAGCAGCGTTGATTTTACAGTTCTTTATGATTTATAAGTGATTTCAGCTTTAATTATTGTGAGTTTTTAATATAATAGCAATGTTTGAAGAAATAAATAGCTCAGTAATCTAGCCCCAGCTTGCGAAGCAATTATTATCGCATCCATAACAGCAGTCAAAAATAATAATCGTTCCAACAAAGCTTCAAATATCGTATAAACTTACTAATGAGATTTAAATTTGTATGGAGACCGGCCAATGCATGTGCCTGTGCACGCATGATAGAACCGCGGCAAAATGCATCAAAAGTATCGCGAATTATTTAGTCGATAATGAGAACTCATGTCCCAAAAAGCTGAGCGTACGAAATTCTTCAGCCACTTTATGACAATTTAATGCGCCATTCGATTAAGCTGTTCTTTTTACCTTTAGGCTTTCCGGCTCTCAAATAATCCGCTTAATGACGCATAATTTGTTTCGACACTTTTGTGCAAAACAGCCAATGGTAATCGCAATTCGATAACGAGTTCGAAGCCGTTTTTTATGTAAATTTACGTTGGCCATGCAAAGTAACAAAATCCAGGTAAGACGCGAATTGAACGAGACAAATAAAAGGAGACACGCTCGGTATTTGAAGACAGTTGATCATTGCATATTCACCGCACAGCCTCAATTATCGGCATTAAGGCTTTTAGCTTTTTAAGCCCTATAGCGGGAAAATTCGATCGCAAATTGCTTCGTTTACACATGAGCTCGAGAGCAATTCATAAAATTGATATCCGAGACCGGGGCTTGTTGTGCCCTATTAGCGCGCGCGCCAAAACGTTCCAGCTTCATTAATCTCTAATCGCTAATTAAATAATCCAATCAGCCCCATCTCATTGCACGTAATGGCTCGGAGGCCGGAGTGTGGGAACTTTGCTATCTCGCGCATATAGCATAGTTTCCCAAATCACTCAGCAGAATCAGAGATTTCCAACATTGTCACTCTGCAGTTTGCTCGCTATATGCATATCGTATATAGTTTTAGAATTTCTGCTATGCAGCCGTTTTCATCGCAAATTGAGTGCTACACCATCGCCAGAAAGATGAATTTTATGAAACAATAGCTTTCGACGTGCTCGTAGCCTTGCTGCGCTCTCTCAAGTGCGCCCGCTTTTACGATGTTTCGCATAATATTCGATTTGAAAATAACTCTGCCTCTGCGGAGTAAAAAAAAAATTTATGCGTCCTAACGTTATATCACTAAAGCTCAAACATGTTTTTTTAACGTGGCAGTGCTTCCTGTATTGTAAACATTGTTTTAACATCATAATCGTAAGCAAGTCGTCTGAAGTAATTAAAATATTAAATCATGCGGACACTCAAGGCTGGCCTTTTAAAAACTGCACTTATGTAAAGTACTTATTAACACTAGAAGTGCGAAATTGCGTGTATGGAGATTTTTTCACGATTGTCTCAAGACGGCTATTTTATTCATCGCCTTAATCCTCGATTATCTTGTCTTAACTGCAAGGAGATAATCACGCCGAGATAAAGTACAGCTAGGATGAAAAAACGAGACCCTTAAAACGGTCGAAATAACTAAATCGAACGACCTTGTTACCCAATTAAGTCTCTGAAATGGAAAAAATGTGCAGATAAAGTCGCGGTATGAAGATAATCTTGCACTTACTTCTTATCGATTCGAGCAAGTAAAGAAGAAAGAGAAGAGAGACCGCAATATTGAGCTAGAAAATTATGTGTCTTGTCTTTCTACATTTTTCAATATCCGGTGAATATTTCATTATACTTTTACATAAACTTTTCTTTTTTTAGCGCAAGATTTTTATTTGAGAGAGACGAGGGTTGAGGACCTCGTGCCAGTAAATTGGAGTTTTCGTTTTCAAAGAATAAATTGTCTACTTGGAGCTATGCATATTTATTGGAAAAGCAAGCGATTTTTCGATAGAACGAAATAACGCTTTAAATTTGAAATTTTTTTGGTGAAAATAAAACTAGTCTCGAGGTCACGAGTTCAATGCTACATCCTGTCGCGCGCGCAGCAACGGTTTAGGATATGACACGACATCGTCGTCGAGTTGGTGTGTTTCACTGATTAAGCGCGCAGAGGCATGTGTACTCGTATGCTCGCGCACATAATGTAGCCAGACGAGCATGACGAACGAGGCGGTTTGCTGTTCTTGTGGTCATGACTCTTGCCGCTCGCATAATGCGTATATTTTTCATAAATTTGAAAATATTCAGGTTAATGTCAGAGAAATGCCTGGCGACACTCGCATTGCTTATTGTTGTTTATTGCGCGTGTGCGCTTTTTGTTGCCGTAAGCGCGCGCGCGAGGAAAATCAATGTTATCGCGCTAGATTTATGCGCTTTTCTGGAAAAAGCATATAGGTAGGAAAGATGAAATCCGCGATAGTTTTTATTTTTTCAATAAAGACGGAAGCTTGTTTCGAAGAGTAGAATAGGGATTTCGGCCGCATGGAAATGCGCACGGTAAAAGCTTATGGAAAATTACGAGGCTAAAAAAGGCATTGTAACGGGCGGCCATGCATAGAGAGTCGAGCAGGCGAAGACTGCATTAAAGCTCGTGTGAAGGGGGATTATCTTGGCGTGTATAACGTGCCACGTGTGAAATATGTTTTGCCCAGAATGAAGGAAGGATCTCGCTGGCGGAGCCGCCTGAGCGAGAGCCTCAAAAAACGGGCCGAGCTCCAAGGCGAGCGCGCGCGCGCTTGACGCAAATGAGAAAGCGACGTGTGCAGCTCCCAACCATTTTAAGAGGGAAAATTCAGACTCCCGTGAGACCAAAAGAGCGAAAGAGACTTATATATTCTACATGTATATAGCGACCCATAAATTGCAACGAATATGTGCCTTTATAGAGTACTTCAACTTCCACTACTTCTGAAGCCAGCTCATAGGAAGTTAAAAAAAAATCAACAGGGTTACGCACTGTTGCTTGCGTCTGCGGCTCTTCTAACATGCTCTCGCACACTCGCACATCTACGGAAAGAGGTCAATTATGTGTTATATACTACGTTACGAAAAATAAAAGAAGAAAAAGAATATACGACAGTGGGCTTAATAAAATTGAGTTTCCGTTCGAAATAAAGTTTGCGCGCGAGGCTGCAAGTGTATAAATGAAGCAGATTCAGCTGCGCCCGCAGAGTTCAACGATCTCGCTCGCGCAGTTATAAA